CGAAAGTCCACTAACAATCCATGCATATTTAATTGCATATATAAGCATATAGAAACGAAAACAACTTACACATATGTATCTTACCTCGTTTATTTAAGAGTTGCAAAATGGTTTCTCGTCTTCTAGTTCTCAAAACTACCCTCTCTCTCTCTCTCTCTCTCTCTCTCTCTTACGTGTGTATAATTTTTGGTGTGTGAATTATGAAATTCATGTATAGTATTTATAGTAATAAAAAGTGGTTGAGTTACACTAGAAAACATGTACCCTATTGGATAAAACCTAGTTTAGGTATTTTGATTATATTTAAATAATAAATTCATAGTTATCTAAATAGGATACTAGCTATCACATTAAATTCAAAATAGGTTAATATTAGACTAAAAATAATATTAAAATTCAATATCCACCCACATGTTGTTGGAGAGAGAAAATGAATTGAATTATAGTTTAAATAAAGTTCTATTTATCTTATTTTCTTTCAATTGAGTCTAACTTAATGTGTTCTTATTCAAAATAACTTTTTCTCAAGTCAAAGATTTCTAATTAATTACGATCTATAAAATGAGTCTAATATCGATTTACTAAATCTCGCTCTAACAATATCTAATTATTTGGATCAAATAAAATAGGAATTTAAAATATTTTTTTCATTTTAGTCCTCAACTTAAAAAATGTAAATATACAATACATAAAATAAATAAATTTTATTCTAAAATTTTCGAGGCATTACACCAAGCGACATGGGATGATAGCGACGATGAAGAACAAAGTGAAAATGATAGTCAAAACGAAGTGGCAAATATGTGTTTCATGGCAATCGAAGACGAGGAACCGAAGAAAACTAAAAGCAAATGGTTCTTAGATAGCGGTTGTTCAAAGCATATGACCAGAGATCGATCCTTGCTATCAAATTTCAAAGAAAATAATGGATGACATGTAACCTTCGGAGATAACGCCAAAGGTAAAATTATTGGTATTGGAAACATTGGTAATCACTCAACCCCCTCAATTGAAAATGTTCTACTTATTGATAACCTCAAACATAATTTACTAAGTATTAGTCAATTATGTGATAAAGGTTATAATATAAAATTCGATTTTTCAAAATGTCTTATTAAGGACGCTACATCTAAAGAGGTAATTTTCATAGAAAACCGAAGTAAAGATATTCATATTATAAACATTGAATTTGAAAATAATGAAAATTGTTTACTTAGTTTGAGAGAAGAATAATGGCTATGGTATAGAAGACTTGGGCATACAAGAATGATGGCTATTTTATCTTTCAAGAATTTCTAAAAAAGAAATTTGTAAAAGTTTTGCTAAATTTAAAATTTGAAAAAGATAAAATTTGTGATGCTTGTCAATTTGGAAAACAAGTAAAAAATTCTTTCAAAACTAAACTTTATTCTTCAACTACAAAACCTTTACAATTTGCTTGAAGAATTTTTTTGCAAAGTAAAAAAGGCATATCGAATGGCTAAGGCACTCATTTTATATCGGCAACCAAGACGAACATCAACCATTAAATGAGCTTCACTCAATTTCGTACGTATACCTATACCTTTGATCTGAAACACTAAAACCAAAACTCGCCTATTCAAATTTGAAAGGATGACCCGAATCATTTTGTGCTTACCAGGCGCCTATGGATCATGTCACCTCTCCAAGTTCTAACATACTACCATCATTGCACAGTTAATGCTCGAGCAATAAACGTAATAAAAAATGGAAACTGCTTCTTTGTTGTATCATGGAAAGAGAAGTTTTCAAATCATTGCAGCATACGTCCCATTAATACCTTTTCAACGAACTCGTCCCTTTGGAAATGGCCTCACCTTTATGAATTTTAACCTTAACAAGATTAAACTATGTCAAGAGGCTCGCCATTTTAACAAAGGTCTCACCTTCATCAATTTTAGCCTTAACACAGCTTTCAACTACATCAACTGGCTCATCCTCTTAGCAAGGGCCTCATCTTCATGAATTTCAACCTTAACACAGGCTTCAACTACATCAACATGCTTATCATCTTAGCAAGGGCCTCATCTTCAACCAGGTTCACGTACTGTCGTGAATTCTTAACGACACGACATAACATAGTCCAACTCCATAGGGTTTCAACTTAAAAGTCCACGCATTATATGAATATCTATACTTGGACTTTGAGGACTGAGATATGCTACACTATTTCTTTGCAAAAAAGGCAACACAACCCAAATCAAACAAAGAACATCTCAATCCATTAGATATACCTCAAATTTAAAAGTCCACATATTATATAAATAATTATACATGGAATTTAGGAACTATCATTACACCCCATTAGATGAGACTCTAAAAGATCCTGTGTGGCAGGTGAACCAGGAGCCCATATTGCACATCACTCTACCTAAGAGAAAATTTGACAGAACCCTTATGAAGAGGCTGAACCTATATGGAAGCTAACCCCATTTGACTGAGATGAATCAAACTATTATGATGGGGCGAGGCCATAAATGAGGCTTAGCAGAAGATCTTTCATGCAATCCTTAGCATGTGATTAATATGACAATTCACTACTATTACCACCATATCCAGCCAATCAGGTCAAGTCTAAACCCTATGTTAGATTTATAGGCAACAGAATGATTTAGCATTAGATATATATATATATTTTTTTAACGAGGTGTCCCAGCTTACGCCAGACTATATCTTCGTCCCTGAACTTCCGGCTCCTCAGCAGCCCAGGGAGGTAAATCGCGGGATGTGTCCAAGTTGACCAGGGTTCGAACAGCCTTTATACTCCCGACCCCAAGGGAGCCTCCTCCATGGTTATTACATCATCAAGCTGCTCCAACCCTTCCTTTGGTTATTACAACACTCAGCTGCTCCAACCAGGAATCGAACTCCCCACGCTGGGGTTGCGAGCCCCGCACTGTCCTTCCTTTGCCAACTTGGATGTGCCCCGGGGGGCTGATTGATTGATACTTTTGACAAGAGGTTGTGTGGCTGAGGCCACGTATACTTTCATCTTATGGTCGGTATTCATCCTATTTTACCATAAAAACTCACATAATGTATCATTTTAAGGACTATGCAAGTTTAAACTCTCAAACTAAAATTTTGCTATCTTTATTGTTATTATCAAGAAATCTTCCTAAAGCTGAGCCCCTTTTTATATTGGAGACTCGTATCTAAAGTATCTCTTAAACTCATATACTACCTTAACTAACTTGACCATTGAAGTATATGTGACCTAATTCACAACCTTTGAATGAGGCCACATGTGGCTAACGATTTGTTTTAGTGTACAGAAACCAGACTTACGTAGATGTGGGAGGCTTTGAGATTTATCGGCCACGTTGGAGGTACAAAATTTTTCGATCAACAATTTTTAAGATGAAAACTACGATTTTTTTTCCACTATTTCATTTTGCATATATTTATGAATACTTTTAAGACGAAAAGGCTTAAAAGGTTCTCGAAAGGATGTCCGCAAAACATTCATGCAAATTTAAATTTTCTTGAAAAACTTAAGAGTGGAATTTTGAAAATTTTATAAGATATATTTGTTCATTTTTGTCTTATAGACGATCAAAATTTTATCTGAGTTCGTCTTCATTTGGAACTTCAGTTTTAGTTTTGTCTTATAGACGATCAAAATTTTATCTGAGTTCGTCTTCATTTGGAACTTCAGTTTTAGTTTTGTCTTATAGACGATCAAAATTTTATCTGAGTTCGTCTTCATTTGGAACTTCAGTTTTAGCGATAGCAAAATAATTTTAAATAGTTTCAAAGGTTCCAGAGTCAACTTGGAAAAGCTAATTGCACGTAAAACTGTACAGCTAAGTAGAACATGAAATACAGCTGGTATTTGCCTACAAATCCCACGAAGCAAAAAGTATTAAATTAAATTAGGTACACTTCAACCCCACCTCAAGAACTCTCCTAGCCACTCACACTGAAACACGTGCCAACACGAAAGTTTCATTTGATATGTACCAAAAAGCAGATTTTCAGTTGCGATCACAAGGACAAAATTGCACAACCACTTTAATTTCTATCCTCAATTCGTAAAACATTTTGCAGTATCAGGAAGATATGTGCAAGAACACCTAAGATTAGATAAATCGAATGGGTCGATGTTAAAGACAAAAAGCATGTTTGAGAAGTGTTTATAATTATAAGCCTTCGTTCGACGATCAATTTATAAATTCAGGCAGAGTCAATTATTAATTTCAATTACACATTCATTACTACAATTATTATTATTCACTGTGGGATTCACGACTATTTTCCCTCTTCATAAATGATTTATTAATTTGCAATTGAATGTTAAATAAATAGAAATAAGTAATAAAAAAGTGAATAAAGCTTGTGAATCCAATGAAACGTAGGAATTAAAAGCTGTCACCAAGATTATTTTTATAATTTAAAGTATTTATAAAAACTTCCAAAACATACAAAAAGAGTTGAAATACTTATATATAGTTCGATTTAACCTTTTAGGTGGAGAGTTTGTGTCTTTTCTGTGTGCATATAAAGCTTTTGATAAGGAAAATAAATTCAGGTTACATGTCAGGGAAATGGAAGCTAGTTTTGAAAATAAGATTAAATACATACGTTGATAACTCGACCTCTCTAATCGTTTAAGTATTTAATAGACATAATTGATATTCAGTACAGTAAGTTTTAATAATTGCTAGTAAAGTGAGAGTTATTTAAAATAAGTAACTTTTTTTTTAATTTGAGTTTGACAAGAGTAAGTTATTCAAGTATATTTGAAAATATCATAAATAAGTATATTTTGAAAATAAAATAAAAAAATATAATTAAAAGTAACTTTTCCTTATTTGAAGTTTGGCCAGACGTGCATTCGTGGGAGGAAGCTTTCATTTCATATAATACATATATACCCTTTACGTGACCGGTAACTCATGTCAGTTGTCGAGGGGAATGAATTCCTTTTGAATTTTAAAAGCAGAAAATAATAATAAAAAAACAGGCTTTACCCTGTTCCCTGTTTTTACAGAAAACAAAAGATTTTGAAATGCTTGGAAAAATTGGGTGACTGCTCGAGACTTTGAATGCCTCTGCTATAACGGATTTCCTCTTCAGTCTCTCTCTCTCTCTCTCTCTCTCTACCTAGATACATGTACGTATATGTATGTATAATGTATCTATCTTGGTATGTGTGTAGTTGGAAAGTGTGGGTTGGTTTTTTGTTTAGGTTATGCGTTTCTTTATAAGAAAATTGTTTGATGTGGACTTTTTTGGCTATTCTGTTTGTGCTTGAATTTTAGCTTTTGTTATCTTCTATAGGTAAATTCTTCTTTGGAAAATGATGTGTTTTTTTGTATAGAATTAAGAATTCGAAATTTGAATATCCTTGTCTTTTCACGTTGAGTTTGAACTTTGTTTTAGGCTGCCTTGTTTTTTGTGTACTTAGCTCTTTTCTTGATCTATTAGTTTATTTGGAAGAATGGGCTGTTCTTAGTTTCTTCGAAGTTTTGATCTTGAACCCTGCTCCCTGTCCCGGGTCAAATCTTTTCCTCCAACTCTTCGGAAAAAACGAAATGGAAGCATTTCCTGTCTTTATTTAACACCAAAAATCTAGACGGAATGAAATTTGAGACTATTTTCTTTTTAATTTGGCTCAGCTGTATGGAGGGATGAGAAAATTAGAGAAAGACTGAATCCTTTCGAAGTTCGAGAATTTGGGGATTTTTGTGTTCAGGAACAGTTCCCTGGAGTCAAACTGTTTGGTATGAAAAGCTTGTTATACTTTCTGAGGTTGGATGGTTGTTTGATGAATGTCTCTTTAGAAGCGTGTTGAACGCGACATCTGATTTTAGATTCAGCTGTTTTTGGGAACATTAAGGATCTTGGGAGGTCGAGATTTTAATGCACGTGAAGTTTTGATCCGTAATTCTGATTAAAGTATTTGTGGTGTGTTATGGATTCGATCAATGATGATAATATTGGGGGGACTCTGATACGACCCTGCAACTGTTACAAAGACTCGAGCTTAAATGAAACAATCCTGAATTCGAATGAAATAGCGAATTTTAAGGATCGGTATGTTCTTGGAGATCAACTGGGATGGGGGAAATTTGGCATAATAAGGGCTTGCACGGATAAGTCAACAGGTGAAGTTTTGGCTTGCAAATCTATTTCAAAAGAGAGATTGGTCACACAAGATGATGTTGGTAGTGTGAAGCTTGAGATAGAAATCATGACTAAGTTATCGGGGCATAAAAATGTTGTGGATCTAAAGGCAGTATACGAGGAGGAGGATTATGTGCACCTTCTGATGGAGCTTTGTGCTGGTGGAGAGCTTTTTCATCGAATTGAGAAGCTAGGGAGATTTTCCGAGCATAAGGCACGGGTTATTTTTCGACAATTAATGGAAGTGGTCATGTATTGTCATGATAAAGGTATTATTCACAGAGATTTGAAACCAGAAAATATCCTCTTAGTCTCAAAGTCTTCCACCTCTCCTATCAAATTGGCAGATTTTGGTCTTGCAACATACATCAAATCTGGTAAGCATTTTTTTTTCTTTTATCATTTCTTATTTTCAATTTTAAAATTCTGATAGATTCTGCAAGTTCATCTCCATTAGCAAGTTAAATAAACAGATTGTCAACGAACTTTCATGTTGATCTCTATACTAGGTTTCGGTCCAAGTTGATGACAACATTTAAACTCTATTTCCCGTTGATCCCTTCGTCCATATCTGTTATTCAAGTAATGGATAACATGACGTGACATTGTAGTTATTTTCCCACTAGACAACCACGATTTTGGTACCAACTTGAAACAAAGTTTTAAGTCCCTTCATCAATTTGGAGAAAACTTAAATTTAGTGACCAACAGTAAAAATTATTGCTAAGAGTTACATGTCCCCCAGCATTTTTAACCCCCTACTCGAACATGCATAAATGCCTTGCAATTAGAAGGGAGGATTCAATTCACCACTTGTATTGTAAACAAGAACATTTGATTTGTAAACGGTAATTTAAGCTTTCAGGGATGAATTTAGAATCCTTTATTGAGAAGCTTTATATCAACAGGACAGGCATTGCACGGTACTGTGGGAAGTCCATTTTATATAGCTCCTGAGGTATTGGCAGGAGATTATAACCAGGCAGCCGATGTTTGGAGTGCCGGAGTTATTCTTTACATTCTACTTAGTGGAATGCCTCCCTTTTGGGGGAAAACCAAATCAAAGATCTTTGATGCTGTTCGGGCTGCAGATCTGCATTTCCCTTCTGATCCTTGGGATCACATTTCAGCGTCTGCCAAGGACTTGATCTCTCTAATGTTGCGTGTTGATCCTTCGAAAAGGGTAACTGCTGAACAAGTTCTCGGTATGTTGAAAATGATCAAGTTCATTATTGTGAACATGGGTTGTATGAGTTTCCAATATTTTCTGTCAGGAGCTTAATATTGGGTTAATAATTAGGTTAATAAAAAAGTTGAACCCAATGTCCAGAAGTTGCTAAATCAATTGAGCATTGATTCCAAAATAGCTTTATCATTGAATTATCCTTGTTTCAATCTCAATGCCTTTCCTGTAATACGGCTTTGAAGTTGGTTTCTTTTGAAAAGAATAGCAGTTATTCTTTAAATAGCCTCAATCGAATTTGGCAAGTATCACGTTTCTATAAGAAGGAAGAGCCTAAATGCTTGATTATAGCGATTGACCATGTCATGTTTTCCGATTCCGATTTGGCTAAACCTGGAAATGTTTTTCAGATTTGTCAAGATCCTCTTTCCAATATTCTGTTGTAATGTGGCCCTTTTTGTTTGCAGCTCACTCCTGGACGAAGGATTATACGGAGGAAACTGAAGAACCTTATGTACAAGATAATCCTAATTATCCCCTGATAGAATTAGGTGGATATTCCTTTTCCACCCCATACATCGATAGAACTCAGGATTGCAGTCTCAATGATGGATCACCTGCAAGTGTCGATGGCAAAGAAGATTCTCCCGTCTTCACATGCAGGACATCATTCTCTTCTCCACTTATTGGCCAGGGTACTCCTGCCTCAATGTCAGGAGGCTTTTCTTTTGGTAGCTACCGTGACTCTAGTGAACCCAAATTCTCATCCCCAATACGCTCAATGCCCAGCTTTACCTTTTTTAGTCCTAGCCAGGCACTAGAACAAAGCAACGAGTCTGTAAGTTACAAGGCCAAGTGTTCATTGATTGATGTAGGTACGTATTTTGTGCTAATTGCTCGGTTTATACAGTAGAATGTGAATTAAGGGCCCACAACTGTAGTGTATGATTGATACACTTTCCACTGCATAATAAGTTTAACTAGTAAATTTGGCGGGTTTGCTTAATGAACCAACAATCTGGAAACCATAAGAAGTGCATTGGTTATTATTGAGCTATTCGGCATGAGTAACTTGTTGCTTGCTAAGTTAATGTACTGTGCAAGTCCTTGGATGAATAAACAGTTTGGAAGGTGGGAAAAAAAATAGTTGACTCGTGTCCACAAATGATTTCTTGTATACCTTATTGAAAATTCTCGAAGTATATGTTTGGTGTGCAGCACTAGATGCACCAGGAGGACAATAGAAACTTTGTTAAACTTTTGATTTTTTAATATGGTCTTGAGTTTTCCAGGTAAACATGCCATAATAGGTAAGATGTTGATGCTTATGCTAGTATCTATAAGGAAGTTGGGTGTATGTATAGGAACCATGTTGTCTAAACGCTTGGGTTATATAGAGATGGTTCAACTGCAACATAGGAGAGCAGAGGCTTGAGCGTTTATAAACATTAGCCAAACATAGGCAAAGACGCATGAGGTGTTTTGAACATATGTTTCTGCTTCTATTCCTTTCCTGCTGGGGGATCATTAATGACGAATTAACGTACAACTGAGTGCTAACTTTGTTGTGTAGCTGAAAGGAAGAGTTCACTCCAGTTGTACTCTTATTTCTTTAATTAGCAATGTTTATTAAAAAAAATAAAAATAAAAATAAAAATAATTCTTGATTGACAAGCATTTATTATGGTCATGCAGATTCAAGTATTGGACAGCTATTCATATTGCCAGATCCTGCAGAGCGAATTCAGTACAAGTCATGCGAAGTCGAGCCCCAAACCAAATTTCACCGGACAGTCGGAACTTGTGGTTCAAAGAGTTCAAGCATGCAGAACAAGAGGAATAACACTATTAGTCTTGGTGAGCTTCATCAACTTGATCTTATAGCGAGCGAGTCAGTGATCCGGTGGGCATCGTGCACACAAATTCCGAGCGCCACATCCTTGATATCCTCGCTCGTCTGCTAGAAAAAATAAATTCGGAAACCCTTTTTTGGGCTAGATGGAATGAACTTGTATTTATTAATGGATCAGATCACCAGATTCTCTTAGTCGCTGTGGGTCGTTATGGCTGCATCATTGTTTGATTGTTGTGACGTAAACAGTGCAGAATATGATGCTCTTTCCTATTTCACACCTAAGGGGAAGTTCATGTAATGCATTATCCCTGGGAATTTAACATAGAAAATTTTCAACATTATTTATTTTCATTCATTATTTTTCATTTTTGTATAAGCTTGCTTTATGCAAATCTCTTAATGACCATTCTTGATAGACCCGACTCCATTCTTTTCTAATTATATTTTCTGTTGTTAGAGCAGGGTAGCCAAAAGCTTTATCATACGAAATTTTGCAAGTGCATTGTAGATAAGTAATAAAATGATGAACATACTATCATCCTAAAGGAAATGGTGATAAAATGAATTGCAAAATGGAGATCAAAAGGAATTTGTTGAAAATATCATTCAATTGCTTTCATTCTCGTGTGTATATTGAGAGAGTAAAAAAATGACCTATTTATACAACTTTCCTATAACAGAAATATACAGAATTTACTGCACAATAATTTTCACACTAACAGCCTAACAGAATTGGAATCAAAATCAGCAGCATCACGTGCACTGGCTGCCGTCATTCTGGTGTATTCCAGATCCTTCTTGGCTTAAATAATCCAAATTTCAATAGCCCCCCTCAAGGTGGTGAGTGGATGTGTTCCACTCCCATCTTGGACAAATGAAAATAAAAACTGTCAGAAGGAAGAGCCTTAGTAAATATGTCAGCAACTTGAGAACCGGTCTAAACATGTTTTGTAACAAGACTTCCTTCTTGAATTTTGTCACGCACTAAATGGCAATCTAGCTCAATGTGTTTCGTTCGTTCATGGAACATCGGATTGGCAGCTATGTGTAAGGCCGCCTAATTGTTGCACAACAATTCAGCAGGTTGTGAATGAGCAACCTGCAGATCATCAAGCACATATCTAAGCCATGTTAATTCACAACATGCAGCTGCCATTGCCCTGTATTCTGCTTCCGCTGAGGATCTAGAGACAACACTTTGCTTCTTGGATTTCCAAGATATCAATGAAGAACCAATGAAAACGCAGTAGCCTGTGACTGACCTTCGAGAATCAGGGCATGCTCCCCAGTCTGAATCAGCATAAGCTATAAGCTGTAGATTGGATGATGAGGAGAACAACAACCCCTGACCTGGTGACCTCTTAATATATCGAAGGATTTTGTGTGCAGCATTGAGGTGTGGTACCCTGGGAGTTTGCATGTATTGGCTCAGCAAATGTACTGAGTAAGATAAGTCAAGTCTGGTGATTGTTAAATAGAGCAATCTTCCCAAAAGTCTTCTATACATGGCAGGGTCAGTTAAAACTTCTCCTTCATCTTTGGACAATTTGATGTTTTGATCAAGTGGGATCTTAGCTGGAGTGGCCCCAATATTGCCTGAATCAGATAAAATGTCCAATGCATATTTCCTTTGACAAATTTGGATCCCTTTTGCTGATCGAGCAACTTCAATTCCAAGGAAATATTTAAGATTCCCCAAATCCTTAATCTTGAATTTGTCATCCAATGAAACCTTGAGGGAGTTAATGACTTCCACATTGCTTCCAGCTATTATAATATCATCCACGTAAATCAGTATGGCTGTAAAAGAATCCCCTGTGCTCTTTGTAAAGAGGCTGTAATCAGCCTTTGATTGATGAAATCCTTGCTCAGTGATGAAAATGGACAGCTTAGAGTACCATTGTCGCGACGCTTGCTTTAAACCATACAAACTCTTGTTAAGCTTGCACACCTTTGGAGTTACATTGGTGGAGTATCCAGGAGGCATGTGCATATAGACTTCCTCCTCCAAGTCTCCGTGCAAGAAGGCATTATTTACGTCAAATTGGTGTAGATACCAACCTCTCACTGCTGCCACCGCAAGTAATGTCCTGATTGTCACCAGTTTTGCCACAGGCGAAAAGGTTTCGTGGTAGTCTATTCCCTCCAGCTGGGTATAACCCTTTGCCACGAGCCTTGCCTTATGTCTTTCGATTGTTCCATCAGCATTAAACTTCACCTTGTACACCCATTTACATCCTATAGGTACCTTTCCAGGAGGCAAATCAGTGACAATCCAAGTCTGGTTTGACTCAAGTGCCTTAATTTCAGCCTGCATGGCTTCACACCATTCAGGAAACTGGACAGCCTCTTGGTAAGTAGTGGGTTCTGGATGTTCAAGTAAAGATATAGATAGTGCTTTGTGTTTGTCAGACAATTTATGATAAGAAAGTGTTGCATTTAGAGGGAAAGGTTTACCTGAAGTTATGGCACCCCCTTTCTTGGTGAACTCTTGAGAATGAGTGAGTGAGGAAGCCTGTTGACATATGAAATCATGTAGGTAAATAGGTGCTCTTTTATTTCTGGTAGATCTTCGAAGCATATGAGGACTAATTGATGCATTTGGTGACAATTCGATTTCAGTAAAATTTTGGTGTGTTTCTGGAGAATCTATTTGTTGACGAGATTTTGTGAGGTTCCAGTTTGTGGTTGATAGCTTAGGTCAATGTTGCTTGGCTGAGCATAAGGAAGATTTTCAGGACTTGGTAGTTTGTAGGTGGGATTTGATGACTCATATCTGGCTTTAGTGGCAGATGCTTTCCAAGGAAAAATATTTTCATAGAATATTACATCTCTTGATATGAACACTTTATTAGTTTCCATGTCCAACATTTTATAGCCTTTGGTCCCAAAGGGATAACCTATGAAAGTGCATTTCCTTGCCCTTGAGTCGAATTTATGCCTATTGTGTGCAAGGGTGCTAGCAAATGCAAGAAACCCAAACACCCTCAGGTTTGAATAGCTTGGCCTGGTTTTGAAAAGAAGTTCGAATGGTGTTTTGTTCTCAAGGATGGGACTGGGGGTTCTGTTTATGAGGAAAACAGATGTTAATATGCATTCATTCCAATAGATCATAGGCAATCCACTTTGAAATTTCAAGGCCCTGGCTACATTCAATATGTGTTGGTGCTTCCTTTCAACTACAGCATTCTGCTGGGGAGTTTCAACACATGTGGTTTGGTGAATGATACCCTTTTGCAAGTAATTGTTTCAGATTAAACTCCCCTCCATTATCAGTCCTGATGGTTTTGATTTTGGAGTTAAATTGCGTTTCTATCAATGTGTAAAAGTTTTGTAAAGTTGTGGAAACATCAGATTTCAATTTCAGTAAATAAACCCAAGTGCATTGGCTATGATCATCAACTATGGTAAGAAGATACTTTGATCCATCATAGGCAATATCAGTACAAGGATCCCATAAATCACAATGAAGCAAATCAAAACATTCTTTGGACCTATGTTGGCTAATTGTGAATGGTAATCTATGCATTTTTGCTAGAGGGCAGATGGGACAATATTTTTGGATGTGCTTTGTTTTAGGTCGGAAGTCAGTCAAATCCATCCTAGAATCTGAAAGGTGGCCCAACCTGAAGTGCCATAGATCGAAATTTTCTTGGCTGTCATTAGCAGAGACTGACAGAACAGCCTTATTGACTAACTTAGGTAAGTTTTGATCAAGCATGGTAGGAGAAACCTCTTTTGGCACCAAGTGATACAGCCCCTTCCTCACTTCACCCAGACCAATCGTCCTCCAAGTTGTAAGGTCCTGCACATAACATAAATTGGAAGAAAAGATAAGGCAGCAATTAGATCCTTGAGTGAGTTTTGTTGCGGATATGAGGTTAAATGAAAAAGATGGAACACATAGAACATCGTGAAGCAATAAATTTTCTGTGATTTTAACATTTCCTATGTGAGTGGCCAAGGCTATAGCACCATTAGGTAATGTGACAGGTTGGGAAATTTTTTCTTTAATGGTTGTGAGGAAGGATATTGAGCAGACCATATGGTCTGTGGCTCCTGTGTCCACAATCCAAGGCATGGTGGTAAAATCATCAATGTGAGCAGAAGAACATGTGTAAGTGCAAGAGATTTTGGATACATTTGTGTGTTTTAGAGAAAGAGAATTCAAACCCTGAACATGATTGGCAGAAGGTGAATGAGGCTGATTGATTGATGGCTTAATTAGAGCCATTAACTGGGTGTATTCCTCCTGAGTCAAAACCACTTGATTCTTGTCACTGATTCGCTCCTGTGCAGATCCCATAGGAGGCATATTCTGATCTATAGAGCTGAAATTCACCTGTGGTTTGTTGTAGAACTTATGGCCTGGTGGATAACCATGAATTTTGAAACAATTACTGATAGTATGGCCAGGCATTTTGCAATGTGTACATGTTGATTTATCCTTATTGGCCTTGAAACATCTTTCCAATGAGTGCCCTGCCATTTTGCAAAAGGTGCAGTAATATTTCTTTGGTGATCCAGTATTCTTCTTCTCTACCTCTCTCATATCCATTCTTGACACTAGTGCCATTCCTTCAGCAGCAAGAGCATCATTGGAGATTTCCCTTCTCTTTTCTTCTTGCTGAATTAGTGAATATACTTCATTCAATTTTGGGAATGGCTTGATCAGGAGAATCTGAGCCTTAAGACCTTTGTAGGATTCATTAAGTCCCATGAGAAACTTCATTACCCAATCTCGTTCCTGATTACTAACCACTGTTTTTAACCCCCCACAGGTGCAGTTGGGAATAGACTCATAGTTGATCAATTCATCAAGAAGTGTTTTGAGTTTTGAGAAATAAGTGCTTACAGTGTCATGTCCTTGCATGAGTGCTGCAATGCCTTATTTGATTTCATATATTCTGGGGGCATTTTGTTGAGCAAGACGTTGCTCTATCTCTACCCAAAGCTGGTGTGCTGTCTCCACATGGAGTGTGCTTGCCTTAATGTCCACTGTCATGGTGTTTTGCAGCCAGCTGATAACAATATCGTTACAACGAAGCCAGTGTTCCATCAATGGATTTTCTGCATCAACTGGTGCACAGAGGCTACCATCGATGAACCCAAGCTTGTTTTTGATTCTCAAGGCCCTCTTTATTGACCTTACCCAGGAATGGTAGTTGTTTGCATCCAGCATTTGTGTCACAAGCAGGGCTCCTGAACTTTGATTTGCTCCAATGAAGTATGGGCTGTTAGGAAGAGATGGATCATGATGATTTTTATTTGAGTTTGTGTTTGTGTTTTGAGTTGTTGTTTGATTTTGATCAGCATCAGTGTTGATGCCATTGTCATTGTTTTCAGCCATTAAGACTCTGATACCATAAAGGAAATGGTGATAAAATGAATTGCAAAATGGAGATCAAAAGGAAT